ATGCTCGGTGTATGTACAGGCGTCCCCCCCTTTGATCAAGCGTTCTTTCCTTCCTGCGGAGCTCTCCAGCTCCAGGGGCACGCCTGGCAGCATTTTTCCTTTGTCGGTCGGCTGTTGTGCATTCATGCGTCATCAGGCCTTTCTCTTTCGATGCATTTGTTTCGTTGTGGCCATAAGCGCTGAGCGCACTCGTGGGGGCACGGAGAGAGACGCGCCAAGCGCGCTTCAGCCTGGGCCAGGCAGCTGCCCTTTCCTTCCCTGGGAGCGGCCGCCGGGCGCGCAGCCGACCGTGCCCCGCGAATCGCACGAAGCGCGACGCGCGAAGCGAGGCGATCTGCCAGGTCTTCCACCTCCCCGCTGTGCAGGGACTGGGCCGCCCAGGCTGATCGACTACCTATTCTGAGCGTGCTCCCTCCCCCGTCCTGCCCGCTCCCCTCCCCCTGCTTATCCACCGTGCCCAGTTCGGCAATGCGGCCACGTGCCCTCCACGTCCGACGTCTGACCTAGAACGCGGACAGGATGCTCGCCACTGCGACAAGAAAGTGTACCAAACCTCGCAGGGTGGGCCCTTTCCCGAGTACGTGCTTCGTTGCGGTCGGTTAGCGCGCATCGTCTCCGTCCGTCGTCGTCGTCGTCGTCGTCGTCGGCGGCGGCGGCGGCGGCGTCGGCGTCGGCGTCGGCGTCGGCGTCGGCGTCGGCGTCGGCGTCGGCGTCGGCGTCATCGTGGTCGTTGTGCATGCTGATCTGCTTTGGACTTGCTTCCCCTATGTTGTGGCCACCACCGCCACAAACAAATAGTATCATGAAGCGATGGCACGGAGGCTTTGGTTGTTCAACGCATCCGCTGCAAGATCACCGGCCTTGGCTTTTTTGGTTGCCAAGCACAAGATGCTCTAAGGGGTCGCGGCGCGCATCATGTAATGGGGGATGGGGCACTCGATGCAAGGGGGTCGAACAAGTTTACTTGCAGGCTACAGGTCCTCCTGCTGTGTGAGACATGTTTTGACGCGAGTCTGTCGGTTCTGTTCTGGGAGAAGCGGGCACGGCAAGAGCGTGGAAGGCTTCCATCATGTTTCATGTATTTTGATGATGCCATGCTTTTGTATTGTGCGCTGAAGCCAGAGAGCTGCCAACATGTGTGATACGACAGACAAGCTGTTGAGGATTTCTTCAGAATTGCCAAGCGTGTGTGAACATGAGTATACCATCTGCTCTTATCCAGCTGCGTGCGGCAAGTCCCGCCACCGTGCCAGCCCAGCATTCTAGATGGCGACTCTTCGGGGGGGCACGGGAGGCCGTCACGTGCGACAGCTCGTGTCCCCAGGCTTGGGATGGCCAGAACATGTGACACACTCTTCCGCGTCGTGTCGGGGGATTTTTTCTCGTCTTCTTCGTCTTCCTCCCTTTCGTCCGTGCTCTCTTGGGCTCCTGTGGGGTCTTTGGGCCACTTTGGTCTTGGGACCCTCTTGGGCCGTCGTGGAGCTCTCTCCGGCCGTATTGGCCTTAGGCAGTCTGGGGGGTCTCTCGCGACAGTTGTGAGGCTGTCAGGATCGTCTTGGGACGTCGAGAGGTCCTGACGGAGGAGGAGGAGGGAACGAGGGAGGGAGGGAGGGAGGGAGGGAGGACGAGGAGGAGGAGGCGAAGAGGAGGAGGAGGAGGAGGAGGGGGAGGAGGAGAGGAGGAGGGGGATGAGAAGGGAGGGCAGGATGAGGAGGAGGAGCAAGGAGGAGGAGGACGAGGAGGAGGGGGAGTGAGAAGGAGGAGCGAGGAGGAGGAGGAGGAGGAGGAGGAGGGGGAGGAGAAGGAGGAGGAGCAGGATGATGATGATGATGTGATGATGATGATGATGATGATGAGGAGATGATGATCATGATGATAATGATAATGATGATGATGATGATGATGATGATGATGATGATGATGATTATGATGATGTGATGATATGATGATGATATGATGCTGATGATGATGATGATGATGATGATGATGATGATGATGATGATGATGATGATGAGAATGATGATGATGATGATGATGATTGAATGATGATGATGATGATGATGATGATGATGATGATGAGATGATATGATGATGATGATGATGATGATGATGATGATGATGATGATGATGATGATGATGATTGATGATGATGATGATTATGATGATGTGGTGGTGATGATGATGATGATGGATGATGATTGATGATGATGTGATGATTATAGATGATGATGATGATGATGATGATGATGATGATGAGGAGGAGGAGGAGAGAGGGGAGGAGGAGGAGGAGGAGGAGGAGGAGGAGGAGAGTCATGCTGCCGATGCCGGCGACGGGACAACGACGATGGTGGTGACACCGGCCACGCTGCTGCTCTCGTCGCTGCCGGCGGCGGCGGCGGCAGGTGCGGAGGCATCACCAGGCCAGCCCGCAGGGGCCGCCGAAGCCAGCGGCGCCTCCGCGCCTCGCGCTCTGGGCCGCAGAGCTGCCCCTCCCCGGGGGGTGGCGCGCGCGAGGGTGCGAGGGGAGGACTCGGAGGAGGAGGAGGAGGTGCCCATGGCCGCCGCACTTCCCTGCGCTTCGCCCTTCTGCAGGGGAGCAACACGAGCAGTCAAAACTCGGAGGTCCGCGCGCATCTCTCGGATCCGCGCTGGGGCACTCTGGGGGCGCCTCCCGGCGCCGCCCCTGGCGCGCTCCGCGCGCCAGGGAGGGGGGCCCAGCGCGGATCCGAGAAGTCCGCGCGGACCTACGAGTTTTTATGTTTATGTCGTTCTTCGTGCCCCTACACACTTCCCTCGTTTTTGCCCTTTTGCGATACCTCCTGGGAGGGCCCTCGTCGCCACCGCTGGCTTCGCCCCGAAGCCGAGCTCTGGTCAGGGCGCACCCCTTGGAGAGGTCTGGGGAGTACAGTCAAGACGCTGATCTGAGGACCGCCTTGGGCTCAGGATGGGGCTCTTTCGAGTATAGGGGATCAAGTACAGAATCAATTGATTTACCCCGAAATTGATTCTCGTCGCATCTAGGCAGGACAAAGGTACAACGTTCGTGGGCTGCTACGTGTTCCCTCGGCGGTGCGACGAAGTCATCAATTTTTTTGGGGAGCCAATTCGGTATTTGGTCTCCTACTCGACCCCTGCCTCCGGGCCATCCCCCAGATCCGGGCCGGGGAGCCCGCCCGTGGACGAGGCTCGCCGCGGCGCGGCGAGGCCCCCCTCCGTTCCCGACTTTTCTCTCGTCCCCCGCGGCAGCAGCCCGGCCTGCAGCGGCCTCGGCTCGCCTCGAAGTTCAGTTCTGGTCAAAGCGCACCCCAGGAGAAGTCCGGGGAGTACAGTCGAGACGCTGACCTGAGGACCGCCTTGGGCTCAGGAGGGGCTCTTGTTTTTGGGCCGATCTAGGTCGGGGAGCCTATCCGTGGACGAGGCTCCCTGCGGCGGCAAGCCCGACCTGCAGCGGCCTCGGCGCCTGCCGGCTTCCCCGAGGGCCGCAGCCCCTTGCGCGCCGCGCGACCGCGGGGCGCGGCGCGCTCGGGCGGCGGGAGGCCCCCAAGAAGGGCGCGGCGCAGCTGGAGAAGGCGCTGGGCGCGGGCCACTACCGCAAGGACGCGCGCCCCCGGTCGGCGGAGCGAGGGCCGCCCCCTCGAGGCCGCGGAGTCGTGCGCGCTCCGCGCGCCTCGCGGCTCGGCTCCGAGCCCTCCTCCCTCCTCCCTCCTCCTCCTCCCTCCTTTCCTCCCTCCTCCCTCCTCCTCCTCCTCCTCCTCCTCCTCCTTTTCCTCCTCCTTTTCCTCCTCCTCCTCCTCCTCCTCCTCCTCCTCCTCCTCTTCCTCCTCCTCCCTCCTCCTCGTCCTCCGCGAGCGCCTTCCTCTGCAGGGCCGCCAAAAAGGGACGTCAATTTGGTCAAACGCCTCGCCGGTGAAGCCGATGAAGGCGTGCAGAGTCCAAGCGTTCGCTTATGTCCCAAGTTTCGGCTTGGCGCCGGGTGTGGCGCCTCGATTTCAGCTTGACCGAGCAGGTTGATTGCGCCCCCTGACGTCCGTCTGGGGTGTTCTGCAGACCTGACCCCCCAGTCCTACTCAGCTCCTCTTCTCCCTCGGGGGGGTTATGCGCGCTTCGGGCTTCGGGCTTCGCGCAGCGCGAAGCGCGAAGCGCGAAGCGCGAAGCGCGCAGTTCGACGCCCTGGTGGAGGCAGACGCTCCCGCCGCGCTCCACCGACTCGCCCCGGGCAGGTGCGGAGGCAGGCAGGGAGGCTGGGAGGGCTCGGGGGCAACGCTAGGGGGGGGAGGAGTGGGGTGCATGGGCTCTCCTCCTCCTCCTCCTCCTCCTCCTCCTCCTCCTCCTCCTCCTCCGCGTTCGCTCTCTGTTCATCCTCGCCCATGGATCGCCGCCAGATAGGGGCCCGATAGCCCCACGCCGCCCGGGAACGTGCGGATTTGCTCTCGGGGGCCCCTCACCGATCTACCGGCGATGTACCGCCGATTCCAGGTCGGTGTTCCCGCCCCCTCCCTGAGCTAGTCCCCCCGAACGTTGCCCATCAAAGGTCGGCCACGCGCATAAGGGGGTAGGGGGAGGGCGGACGGCTTCTTGGAAGGCGCGGGCCTTGACTGTAGATGTAAGGCCGGCGCTTTTACGAGCAGCCTGTTTCTAAGACTCCCCCTCCTCCCCCTCCCCCCCTCTGCGCGCCGCCGATTAGGAGCGTGGGCAGGGAGGAGGAGGCCCCTGGAGGTCCCCTCAGGGCCTCTGGCACATCTGCCTGCCTGGTGCCCTCTGTCGCCCGACGGCCTCCGCGCTGGCCCGCCCTCTCCCTGCGCTGCCCTGTCCTGTTCGAGGAGCAGGGGGGAGGGAGGAGCAAGGCGGGGCAAGGGAGGAGCTGAGGGAGCAAATGCGGAGCACAGGAGGAAGGAGGAGTAGAGGAGGAACGAGGAACAAAAACGCAAGGAGGAAGGAGGAAGCGCTGCCGCCTGCGTGTGTGCGCGATGCGCACCAGCTCAAACGGGGGGTGGGGTTGCAGGGTTCAAGCGACCGTCCATTAGCGTGCAAGGCTTCCACACCTTCGATTCTGCCCTTTCTTCTCCTCTTTCTCCTGCCCCTAATCGTCCGCATACGAAGTGGGCAGACGACATTTGCAGCTATCCGCAATCAAAGGGATTTGCAAGGAATGACAATTGATTTCTTCTGCCCATCTCTGCCGAATTGCAGTCTGCACTTGCACACGGATTTCTCGACGCCACGTCACCAGCTGAGCGCTACGGCGCTGCGCGCCGATCCCCGTAGTCGGGACAGCTCTGCCTGGTGAGGCGGCCTCCTCCTCCTCCTTCTCCTCCTCCTCCTCCTTCTCCTCCTCCTCATCCCCCTCCCCCTTCCTCCTCCCTCCCTCATAGGGTTGGGGTGGTTCCCTCCCTCCCTCCCTCCCTCCCTCCCTCCCTCCTCCCTCCTCCCTCTCTCCCTCCCTTCCTTCCTGCCTTCCTCCCTTCCTCCCTCCTCCCTCCTCCCTCCTCCCTGGCGCGTGAGCACCCTCGGACCCACCTGCCCGGAAAGAACATGCGGCAGTAGCGTCAGTGAGGGCAGCATGAGCGAGCAAGCACTTGCACCGACTGTGGCGCTCAAGTGCACGCTTGTTTTACTCGAGGTCGGCAGTCGGGCGGGGAATCCGTTCGATAGCCGACGACGGCGGCGTCACGGACTACGAGCGCGGGAGCTCTGGTGGAAGGCGCGCCCACTCGATAGCGGATGGGCCAGCACGCCCGAAATTCTGATCTCTCGCTGTTAGTGACAGATCACTAAGGGCGTTGCACGTGACTTGTGTCACCGCCCACCAAACCACCCCAATCCAACACGAAGGCTCCGATTTGCCCTCCATTTCCAGTGTGGGAGGGTCGGGGAACATTGAACAAACACATATGAAGCCCGTACCCCCCTCCCAACCCGAAAGTCGGGTCTTCGGATTTGGGTTGGGGTGGTTCGGTAGATAGTCACTGTGAGGAACAAAGCCCGGGTCAAATGCAACCTTCTTTGGCCAGCTTTTAGGCGTTGTGGCTGTATTATACTTGGTATATTGTTATGCATGAGATACGAATCGTCTCATGCATGAGCGTCCCGAGCTCTGAACCCGCCAGTTCTCTGATACCGAGTGTTTTTTAGTCGCGAGAGGTGGCCAGAAGACCTGCTGCTGCGAGAAGAGATCCGCCAGTGTGCCAGCCGCTCAGAAGTCATAGCCTTGCCAGAGCGCAGGGACAATCTCACCGCCATAGACATGTGCATATGTATTATGAATTCGCCTTATCATGTTTTTCTGCTCAAGGTTCAACCTGGACTGATAGCGTAGCAGGAAAAGTTGTGCTGTCGTCAGTCCATCGTGTATTCCCCACGTCTACGACTTGCCGTCCTGTGTACGATTTCGGTTGGTACAACTGTGCCCGCTATGGCAGAACAAGAGTTGCAGTTATGTGACAGAACACGTGGAGCCATCAGCCATCAGCCTCCTTCCTCCCCCATCCTTCATTGCTCCGTCCTCTCTGAGGAGCAGATCTCCCCCTCTCGACGTCGAATGCGGTGGCAGGGCGCCTCGCGCGCTGGCAGCGGCGCCCCCGCCCCCCACCCCCCTGCAGAGGGCGGGCCGTGGCCGCCCGCTGCCGGTGCCTCTGTGGAAAAATCTCCCCTCGGGCCGGAGATGGCCCTAGCCGCCGTGGGCGGAGAGGGCTGTGGCAGTGGAAGAATGCCCCCCTGGCCGCCCGCTGCTGGTGCCTCCGCTGCTGGTGTCTCCCTGGCCGCCCGCTGCTGGTGCCTCAGGGTCATGAGTCGGCGGCGAGCCTGGGGGGAGTGACAAGCGGTGGGCCTTCTCGAAAAGGCCAGGAGGCTTCAGGCCTTCGTGGCAGTTTTTGGAGCCGCTCCCGAAGACGCAGACAGCTTGTCAGAAGGCGCAAGGGCTTCTGAGAAAACCTGATCTTTTTCACTTCTCCCGGGCGCACCGCCGAGTGAACAAAGTAACGCCAGGAGGTTTTTGGCATGTGTCGGCCTCTGGGGGCCCTCCCTTCGCCAGGCCC